ACTTGAAGAGTTTTTATTTCCAGGTGGCACACTTCATTACACCTTTCAAGTACGACAGCTTGGAAAGTGTTCACCGAGCGTTAAATGGTCTTCTTCCTTCTGATATCAGAATAAGAGAGATAAGAGCCGTGATGCCTGAATTTCATGCCCGGTTTTCTGTTAGTAGCAAGATATATAAGTACAAGATTTATAATGATACCATCATGGATCCATTTCACAGGCACTATGTTTATCATAGTGTCTATAAACTAAATACAGATGCAATGAGAGATGCTGCAAAGCATTTTGTTGGAAAGCATGACTTCTCTGCTTTTGCAAATGTTTCACGAAATGATGGGATGCCAAACCCAATGAAGAATATCATACGCTTAGATGTGAATGAGATGGTACTTCTTAAACGCCTACGATTTTTTCTTTCTGGTTGTGTTTGGGTTTTGGACTTAAGAATCTTTTTGCAAAACAGCATGCGTTTTCATCAAGATTAACATTTTTGCATCCTTTTCAATTACATGACCACTGCATATTATTCAATTGACAGGGCCACTGCAAGTGTTTGTATTCTTCTGTCAAATTATCTACTTTTATTCAAACAAGGCAAAGTTTATACTTTATACGCTGTTTGGAAATCCTAAAGTTGAGTTTGAGATCCTTCTTCCTGTTTGCAGGGACCTCTGTTGCAGCTTGAAGTTGAAGGATCAGGTTTTCTATATAGACAAGTTCGGAACATGGTATTTCATAACCTTTTTGGCTATATCTTCACATGCATAGTCCATCATGTTTGGTGCATATTTGTTCCGGTTCTGGTGGCTTGGTTTTATAGTCATTTATCAAATGAAAAGAAGACACTTTCCGGGAAAAGACGAATTATGGCCAGAAATTATTTCTAGAATCCCTGAAATGATTGCTAGAATCAATATGACCATAAATCATTTTCTAAATTGGCTGTTTTTCATCTTTTTATCTTCAAATGGCCAGAAAGTGATATTAACACGCCGACAGTTACTTCTTCCTGCTTTTTGGATTTACAGAACTTTAGATTATGAATATGTTTTTTAATCCAAGTTCCTGACAGCATATGTCATTGAGTGCTAACTTTTAGCATATAATTAGATACACTATCCTTGGAAAAAATCTTTTCGCCTACCAAATTGTTATGAAACAAACTTTTAAGAATGTGATTGGATATATGATGAAACTATGATGGTAGTAGTTGATTTGAGTGGTAATAACCACATAATGATTTGAATAAGTTTGGTAGTTAGAAATACGTGAGAGATGTATAATGAAGTTTTTAGGAATGTGAGACGATTTTTCAGAAATGTGTAATATGACTGGTGCTTTAATGTTTTCCTTAAGAAGATGAAGTCATTGATNTAAAGTTTGATGCTTGATCAATAATGTTAGTCTTTTATTGGATAGACATGCTTAGTATGTTTTGAATTATTTCATATTATGCCTTGCAATGAATTGACCTCCTGTGATTTGAAGTTGATTGAAGATTTGACGATGTGGGACGCACAATCTAGAGTCACGACCTTGTTTTGTCCTTTGTAAGTCCCGATTGGTCGTTACTTTGAACTTGCCTTCTTTTAGGATTTTTATGTATACACTCATGTTTATGTATTATTCTCATGATATTTCAATGTTTCGTTTGCCCTCTTATAAAAAAAAAAAAAAAAAAAAAAAAAAAAAAAAAAAAAAAAAAAAAAAATATTGTTCAGGCATATGAGGAGGTGCTATTCCGGAGGAACGGCTTATCAGTCATCTATATATATAGGGTTAGCTAGTTTGTTTCTAGCTGTGCAGCCGAGCCTAATTTGCACTTTATTTTTTTAATTAATAAATATCCGAATATTATATATTTATGATAAAAATTTGGATCGTATATTATAAAAAGATAATGTGTAAATTATTATCGCATTGTAAAATGAGTTATCTATTAAGTTGAATTATGTTTCACTAGTGCAGAGCCCGTGCGATGCATGGATACATATATTTAATGAGTCATTTCTATAGGGTTTGTACGTTTCGGCAAAAAAACAATAGGGTTGGACCATCAATCTTTCACTTCTTTCAATCAGTGATGTTTATTTAGTCGTAACGTTGACATGTTAATTAATATATTATTTTGTTAATAAGTTATACTAATATAAATTTGATTTTACAATATATATTTATTCATCGATATAAGAAAAAAAAAAAAACTATACATTTTTTTGTTCATCATATAATACTCAATTATTACTTTATTATAATATTTGTTGTAATATAGTGTCATTATTGTTATTTATAAAAGTTATAGAAGTAGTTTTCTTCTTCTTCTTCTTCTTAGTTTATGTAATGAACTTTAAAATAAAATTTTTGCATAAATGTTTACAAAATAAACACGCATGTTTTTAGAATTTAATTTTCTCATAATAATTATAAAAATTGATTTAACAAATTGCCAAATAATAAATCCTTACATAATCAAGAGATTTTTCTAATTTGCATCCTAAATGCTGCATTAGTTTATGTAACATAATATACAATATAAATATATATTTTGCAATAAATTCATTACGGAAACAAATAAAAGTAAAAAATGATAAAATTATCACGATTGACATTAATATACAAATAAATCACATGTTGAAATTGTAAATAATAGTTAATATATTTTTATTTTATTATCTAGTTAGTAAATTATTTAATGATGTGATCATTATCTCTTAAATGGTAAATTATTTTAATTTTAAAAATTTATATTTTTTATATAATTAAATAAAGGTTAAAAAATATTATCAAAAAATATTAGTTCACCAACTTGATTTCGCCTAATTAGTTAGAAGGAAAAAATTATTTAACATGTTAAATCGTTTATAATTATTTTAGGATGAAACTCAACATTTGTTGAAAACAAAAATATGGTTAAGACTTAAAATTTGTTTTAGGTTTATGTTGACCAAAATATTATCAACATGAATCACGGAAAATCAAATTATAGTTTATTAATGGATATCAATTAAATTATTGCAGATGTTGAAAATTATTCAAGGTAAGAATCTTTTTTATCATATCTGATTAGAAAATGTGTATATGAAAGCAATTAATGCATATATTTAAAAAAATTTCAAATAAAGTATGCATTAAATGCTCCCAGATTTTTTTGCTACTATTTTTAGTAAACGGTTATTCTCTTTATATATATATATACTAGTGCATAGCCCGTGCGATGCACGAGTAAACAATATGACTTTCATAGCATGTAATATTGTATTATCACACGTGCAAAACAAAATCTACATCTTAAGTTCATATTTTATGTTTTTAGTGGAATAAAATCCTTCATTTTAGATCATATGTATTTAATTTGTCCAAATTTATCTACATATCGGCAATTTAAATTTTGAATTTGAAGGTAACCCGAATCTATGATTGCAAAATATCGTTTAATAACTAAATCAGCCGCAACTTTTGGATTTGGTATTTTGAAACCTAGAAAAAAATAAAATCATTAATTTAGGGGAGTTATGTGATAAATCTATCTAAATCTTGTATACATCACGTTTTACAATTAAAGCAATTTAAATATAGAGATTAAGATATTTTGAATCTCTGATTTAAACAAAGACCATAAAAAATTTGATTTGGTATTTTGAAATTTTTTAAAAAAAAAATCATTAATTTAGAGGATGATATGTGATAAATCTATCTAAATCTTGTATACATCACGTTTTACAATTAAAGCAATTTAGATATGGAGATTATTCTTTTTTCAAATTTTTGATTTAAACAAAGATCATAAAAATTTTGATCGTTTCAAAATTAGACCCGTGTATTATTTTTCTTTATAAATAATTGTCAAACAAAACAATTGAATAGCCGCAACTTTATTCTTTTAATTTAAATTGCCCGATTTGATGGTTAGAAAAAATGTTTTCAAAAGAAATAAACAAATAATTTTTTTTATATATAATTTTACCCTTAAATTAGCCGTAATTTTGTTAAATAAAATTTGCTAATCAAAACATATGTATTAGCCGATTTTACAGAAAAAAAAGTTTCCGATATTTTGAAAATATAAAAGCATATTTTTATGGTTAGAAAAAGTAACACATAATTTTTATTATTATTAAATCAGTCATAATTTTTTTATTAAAAAAATTGCCAAGCAAAGTAATTGTATTAGCCGAATATCTGGTTTTAAATTTGGAGAATATAATTGGCCGATGTTTAATTGAATTAGCAGTCGTGATGTACATTTTTATTCAAATTTAAAAATAGCTTATTGTAACCAATAACCAAATTTAATTGATGCAGCCCGTGCATTATCAGTTTTTGATATACACATCGTGTCAAACCATCGCAAATATTCAATAGACCAAATTTAAATAGCAGCCCACTTTTTTGAAAATAAAAAAAAAATAACAAACTCCTCATTTTAAGAACAACATTTAATGTTGTCCATTTTTTAGTAAAAAATATATTAAAAATATACTATAAATAACATGTAATTAATGTTGATCAGTTTTGACCAAAGATTGACTTACTATTTTTTTATAAATGTTAATTCTTATTATATATACTAGTACAGCACCCGTGCGATGCACGGGACTTTATTATTTCAGTCCTTTTCAAAAAGCAATTTTGTATTTAAATTCAAATTACATAATAAAGCATCGATCATTGATTATAATTAAACCTACTTATTATGAGATACGTGTAATTATTTATATTAATCATTTTGGAGTTTTAAAATATGAATGTTTTTGAAAAATGTGGGCTTAAAAAAGTTCATATCGGCTCAATTTACAATGTTGGCTTCGAAAGTTCATAACGGCCCAAACAAAACAGAAAAACATAATCCATTGATCCAGATTAGTCAACGCAAATCGACGATTTAGATTACACTGAATATTGTATAAGTAGTGAAATTATCGGACCAAGGGCTTCATTTCTTCCTTCATTTTTCGCCACTTCAAGTTTCTTCTTTCGTCTTTTTTCATCGATCTTCTTCCAACTTTTCCGTTCTAACACTGAGGGTCTTATAAATACATATTCTTTTTTAGTTTTCATTTAATCGATGCTTTAAATTAGTTTTAGGTGTCTTGCACGAAACAAAATATGAATTGTTCAATTTGAGTTTTTTATTTTCGATTTTTGTAGTTTTATGTTCGAAATTTTTGGTTTATACAATTAATCAAAAGAATCCTTCGAATTTGAGTGTGTGCCGGTAGATTTTATTAATTTTAGTTGTTTTGCCCGAAAAAGAAATGTGCAATTTTTAATTTTAAGGTTTTTATGTTCGATTTTTGTACTTTTATGTTCGGATTTTTTGGGTGTTTACGATTAGTCAAAAGAACTCTTAGAATTTGTGTGTGTGTCGAAAATTGAGCAATTTGGTTACTAAAACTGAGTATCCGTGATTGAAGGCATATTTAAATGGTTTTCTCATTTAATAAATAGAAAATAAAAACAAAACTTGCCCAAAATGGTATGCAATTAATGTTTCCAGATTTTTTTTGCTTACTATTTTTGGTAAATAGTAATTCTTATTATATATATATAGATATATATATAGATATATATATATATATATATAGATAGATATAGATATAGATATAGATTGTAGGAGCATGTTTTTGGTAAGGTATGATCTAAGTAGGCATTTATGTGAACCAATTCGGTTAACTAATTTATCATGTGGGATTTCCTTTGTGAAATTCATATTATAATTACGTGTCAC